GAGCCGAACGTGTGACCCCACCAATGGATTGCTCTCCGAACGAGGAATCCATTGGTGGGGTCACACGTTCGGTTCGACTCCTGTTTAGCGACTCTGGAGCTCAAAACGCGTCTAGAGTTTAGGCCGCCTCCACTGGTCTTCTGGACCACTGTGCACTGCACGCCCCTTTTTCACAGTGTGCCTCGTGGCACACCGTGGCACGTCGCGACGTTTACAGCCGCAACACCTCTTTCCGCAAATCAGTCAAGCAAGTCCATTTGCCTTCGAGTGCCACGGCATGGCCACGACCGCCATCGTCGCTGGGCAATACGGGCAAATATTCTTTTACTAGCACCGCTCCAATGGGAAGGCGAGCATTAACTGAGCCAGAGAGAGAGAGAGAGAGAGAGAGAGAGAGAGAGAGGGGGGGGGGAGCAAGTGTGAGGTAGCCGTGGCCAGTGTGCTGGGTTTTCCAGTCCAGTCGCGAGCGCGAGGAAGAATCCAAAAAGAATCCATCCTGAGAGCCAACACCTCGGACAACATGAGGGACATGAGGGGAGGGGAGCAGAGGCGCCGATTCCGCGAAATTGTCACACCTCGGCGAGGCTCGGCCGACCCGAAGACCCGCACGATCCTGGAACGCACAGTGGGCCTGCAGACCGGCGGGAGCGGCAAAGAAATCGAAACGCGTTTTGAGCTCCAGAGTCGCTAAATGGGACTCGAACCGAACGTGTGACCCCACCAATGGATTGCTCTCCGAACGAGGAATCCATTGGTGGGGTCACACGTTCGGTTCGAGTTCTGTTTAGCGACTCTGGAGCTCAAAACGCGTCCAGAGTTTCGGCCGCCTCCACCGGTCTCTTGGCCCACTGTGAAGCGGCGGCGGAGGAGGGGGCCCGGGGAAGCGTTACGCAACAAGCAAACCGACCCAAAATGTGTGTCGCGCAGGAAGGTGCCACTAACTCAATCAGTTGCCGAAGCGTGCCACGCTACTTTATCTAGTATTCAATCACTTCTAAAGCGGGACACCCTAGGAGGTAATCCACGCTGACTCTGGTTCGAATCCCGGCACCTCGGGATCAGGGTGGGATTACCGAAAACGAACCCCCGACTGGCGGATCAACGCACATCGCGACTGACAACATGATCGTCCTTATCAGCCTCTGTCCTCGTCGTGTTCGGCCGGAAACGTGGCGGCACACCGTAAGGCGACACTCCGCCGTCACACGCATTCAACCAAGGATCCTTTTGATCCTTGCAGAACACCCAAATGCACCACTCTGCAAACTGAAGTGTGTACATAGTACACTCTTATTAGAGCATACTTCCAAGCACACTCTTATTTACAGCATACTTGCCAGGCACACACTAAAGTAGAGTGTGGCTGGCATACGCTAAATAAGAGTGTACCTTGCAAGTACACGCTTAAATGCACTCTATTAGTCCTATCTGAAAGCATGGGCCAGTTTAAGTGTACTTGCCGGGTACACTCTTATTAAGCGTGTACATGCAATGTACACTGTTTTTTATCGTGTGCCTAGCAAGTATGCTGTAAATACGTAAGAGCGTTCTTGGAAGCATGCCCTAATAAGAGAGTACTATGTACCCACTTCAGTTTGCAGAGCATGTGTGGCAAACGTGGGCACAGTAACAGTGGCTAAAGAGCTCGCGATATGAGGAAGCGTACGCCTGGTCACCCCACCGACTATCGACAAGCCCGATCGAACGTACGTGGCGAACGACAACAGTGTACAGCGAAGCACTGACTGTACGACCTCTTTATCACAACACTGATTCATGCGAGGGAAAAATGAGTCTTCCAGCGAACGGGCTGGCACCGCGCGGCACGCCCCCAAGGGGGCCCATCGGGGGCCCAACGGGGCTCACAGGGCCCCAACGAGCGGGGCAGGGACCCCCAAACAGTCCTTCCTGCACCTGGTATGCAAAGTCGGCATTACCTTAGCATAGATGATTGGGACAAGAGCCTCCACACATTAGTTCCCCTCATACACAAGTCAAGAGGGGCAGTTACGTACGAGGACGGCTACCGACAAGGCGCGACAAACCACTTCCAAATCTGTCCTCGTTTTTAACGACTCGATTTTCGTCACTTCTTTTCCAGCCTTGTGTCCATGTGGCATGGTAATATTTGGTAGAAAAACAGCACGTCGATATGGTAGGTTGCACGGCACAGTGGGCGAGGCGGACAAAACTCTAGACGCGTTTTGAGCTCCAGAGTCGCTAAATGGCACTCGAACCGAACGTGTGACCCCACCAATGGAATCCTCGTTCGGAGAGCAGTCCATTGGTGGGGTCACACGTTCGGTTCGAGTACCATTAAGCGACTCTGAAGCTCAAAACGCGTCTAGAGTTTCGGCCGCCACCACCGGTCTTCTGGCCCACTGTGCACGACCGAGTTCCGGGAGGGTACCCTTGGTGTGGCCACACTGTGGCAGGGCCGAGCAGGGCGCAACTAATCGGCGGCTTCGATTCGGCGGACCAGCATGCATCGGAACGAGCACACCGAGGCCGGCAGCGAGGCGACACCAGCCCTGGCAGGGCCGCGCAAAAACCGTGGAGGAAGAAATGCCTTGGGAAAGATGAAACCAAACACCGGAGAAAAGGGTCAAAATAGACGTTAACGCTAACGCGAAAGCAGATGATACTGACGAGAATGTTAATTTTAGTGTATTGCAATTCATGATTAACACGTGCATGGTTTAATGGACGAAAATGTTAATTTTGATTTAACTATTGAAGGTTCGAACAAGCTTCTCATATGCAACGCTCGACCAGCCGCCCTATCAAGTTTAATCCCGCATTGTGCTTGCTAGCTGATTTAACAATCATCTGCTAAAAACGACGGAGTAATAAGGTTAAGATACCGGATAGGAAAGGGCTTTAATACTAGAGAAAAGGGTTTGAATACCGGGATAAAGGCTTAAAAATGGCAATTGGAAAGTGCTTTGAAAAATTCAGACGTACGAAGAAAAGCTCTCAATACTGTACGACCACTAAGCCGCGGAAATGTAGCAATTTTATGGTGCCTACAGTACGATAGGAATCCGCCGGCGAAACCGTTTAAGCCCTAAACGACACCCAATTATGTCACAGGCGGTGTTGATAAGTATTTACTGTCGCCTTCTGGGGCCTTCTTTGTCTTTGTTTGCTATCAATGTTCTTTTCTTTGTTACTAGCTTGGAGTATGCGAGGACGGCAACGATTCCCCACACCCTCAGAGTTCAAAGAAAGGGTTGTCACTAGCTTCAAACAAGGAGAGCTCGCCCTGCCCAATCCACATGCCCCACAATGCAGTCAAGACGTTCACCCTAAGTAATCTGGCCGCCCCTGTGTACCCAACCCACTTGCCTGGGCCCTACCCCCGTCGCATGCAGAGTCACCGAGTAGATAACGGCTATCTTGACGAGCTGACTGCGAATAACGAGTCGTTAGTTCCATGAAGAATCGTTCCATTAAGTTCCACAAAGAACAGTTCCTCTCCATCAAGACCGGCCTTTCCCCAAGCGGTCCGTCCCACCCGGCCGTATTGTGCGAATCAGCCGAACTGGCGTTTTGTAACACATCCATCCGAGGTTAATTAAATCCGCTTTCAACGAGGTACCGTGAAAAAAAGAAAATACGACACCGTCGAAAAAAAATTGCTTTGCGAATATAACGGGGACAATACGGGCCGCCTTGTTCTTCCAGCAACCGGTTTTTAAATCGAGTTGGACAAGGCGCGGCGCGTCTCTCTCGCTCTCGAACCGAGTCTCGAACGGGCCCAGATCGTATCGGTTGCATCAGGCGATTTTGGACAGAGTAACACGAAATGTGATACTCCAGCAAGAGCGTGACAAAAGCCGCGCCGCGTTTAACGCGTCTGACACGCTGGAAAACTGTGCCCGAAAATTCCTTGTCCATGTCTAAGAAAAATTCCGCTCGTTGGCTGAGCACTGCTCCTCCCCTTGGAGATAATATGGTGATCCACAGAGCGATGATAGTGGCGCCGGCAAAGCCGCCCTCAGAGCTTTACTTGCTTCACGTGGAGACACTTCAGTCAGACTGACAGACAGACAGACAGACAGACAGACAGGCAGACAGACAGACGGACGGACAGACAGTGACACACGCCGTGTGTCAAGACACGCCGGGGTCACGTCCGAGGGCCAGTCGGACAGACAGACAGATAGGCACACAGACAGATAGACAGTCGGACAGGCAGACAGACAGGCGCGTCGCGCTGAGCCTAGTTCCAGCTGACGCGGCAGCCCGGCGGGCGCGAGCCACGCCGCCCGGCGCACAGTGGGCCAGAAGACCGGTGCAGGCGGCCAAAACTCTAGATGCATTTTGGGTTCCAGAGGCCTTAAAGGGGCCTCTAACTTAACGTGTGACCCCACCAATGGATTGCTCTTCGGACGAGGAATCCATCGGTGGGGTCACACGTTCGGTTCGACTCCCATTTAGCGACTCTGGAGCTCAAAACGCGTCAACGATTTTGGCCGCCTCCACCGGTCTTCTGGCCCACTGTGCGGCGTTTGCGAGTTTCGGCCGGCTTGCTGTCGCAGTGCTGCCACACAAGTCCCCACTTGAAAGGGTTGCCAACCTAGGCTTTGCTCTCGCGGGGTTGCCTAGACTGAGGTTGGCAACCCTTTCGACACGGGTGCGTCCCGGGGATTTCCGAGCTGGAAGGCGAGCAAGGCACTGCGATAAGCAAATTGCCAGCCCGTCTTATCGGCGACACCTCTCCGTGATTAAATTCCAACGTCCTGGTTCACACGGACTCCGCAGTCAAAGGACACGAAAAGCAGCGAGAATGTGCCGACGGCCTTCGAGCGCCGCCAGTGTAGGACGTCTCTGGCAGTGTGTCGCAGCCTCGGTGCATGCACCGGGCCGCACCGGGCCGCCGGCCAAAACATTTTCAGACACTATGTGGGGCTCCAATTCGCATCGAAAGCGGCGGGGCCTGTGGGGCCGCCAACGGCCGAGACTATCGAAATCGAACGATCGAGATTCGAGCGCACCTTGCACCGTCGCGAGATGATGTTGAAGACAGGCATGGTGCGCGGTGCAGTCCCTCACTGCCGCAAAACCATGACGCCGCGTCCACGTCGCACACGTCGCACGCGCGTCGCACTCACGTCGAAGGCACACTGACACACGGCACGCGGGTCGCGCAGGGCTGCCTGGCTACTGCCTGGCTGCGGCCGGACTGACACAGAGTCACAGACGAAGACTCGGAGACGGACCGCCGGGGACCGAGTACCGCGTCGAGTTGAGCGTCGCGCCAAGCCGGCCCGACCGAAGCGAAGCGCGAAGCGAGCGAAGGCCCGAAGCGAAGCTCGGCCGAGCCGAGCCGAGCCGAGCCGAGCCGGCAGCTCCGAAACCGCGCCGAGGCGGCTTCGGGTGCCCCGCAGTGCTTCGGCAGTGCTTCGGCATATTAGTGGCAGCGTGCCGGTCGCACAGTGGGCCAGAAGACCGGTGGAGGCGGCAAAAACTCTAGACGCGTTTTGAGCTCCAGAGTCGTTAAATGGGACTCGAACCGAACGTGTGACCCCACCAATGGATTGCTCTCCGAACGAGGAATCCATTGGTGGGGTCACACGTTCGATTCGAGTCCCATTTAGCGACTCTGGAGCTCAAAACGCGTCTAGAGTTTTGGCCGCCTCCACCGGTCTTGTAGCCCACAGTGGGTCGGGTGCGGTATGGGCCATCATGGCCGCGAATCCCACTGCGAGCGACACTCAAAAGCGATCTCGAGTCATCGTCGAAACACTCAAACCCTACACCCGTCAGCAGCCCAACTTGTGGCAAATGATGTTTCAATTTCTGCGGCTGTGACACGTTTTGTTGCAGGTGTACTTCATGGACCGAAATACACGCTCGCTGCAATGTCAAAAATAAATAATAGCCGTCGTCCCGTCACTGTGCAGCCCGCTGGAAACACACACACACACACACACAGTGTGGTCACGCAATGGCGCCGGGCGGCGTGGCGCCCATGTGTTGTGTGTCCTCTGCCCTTCCCACAATCGGCTCAAAATGACACGAATATGGGTCTGGACGCGGCGTTCGCCGCGGCAGCCTCTGGAAATAGCGCAATTTGGTGGATTACCGGCGTGCAGCGCGCTCTGGCATCGCGTGGCGGCCGGTCGCGGCACTACCGGTGCACAGTGGGCCAGAAGACCGGTGGAGGCGGTCGAAACTCTAGACGCGTTATGAGCTCCAGAGTCGCTAAAGGGGACTCGCACCGAACCTGTGACCCCACCAATGGATTCCTCGTTCGGAGAGCAATCCATTGGTGGGGTCACACGTTCAGTTCGTGTCCCATTAAGCGACTCTGGAGCTCAAGAGGCGTCTGGAGTTTTGACCGCCCACTGTGCGGTGTGGTACCAGGTCTAACGCCAATGCCGCGATGTACATTGTAGCGCAAGCCAAAGGTGCTGCAAACATCCGCTACCCCAGGAGTTCCACGAAAACGGCTCATGTTGAGCTCATTTTCTCATCGGCACAATCTACTTTGTTGCAGTCAAATGCCGCAGCCAGACCCGTCGCGCCCGCATCGCCGAAGTTTCCACGATAGCCGGCTACTCATTGTCGTTACTCATCTCAGCCGATATGCTCCTTTGTGCAAGAATGATAGGCTGATAGGATGGCATTCGGCCGGCCGAGCAAGCATGCGCAAGCTGGCTTCGTCAACGCTTGTTCGTCGCATCAAGTTCGAGAGCACACTTTGCTGGCCAAATAAGTGGGCAAATCTTGCCACGATGCGCTAGTGTCGAAAGGGTGGTGGCCAACCTCAGCCTGACCACCAGGCAACTTCTCGACAGCCAAGCCTAGATATCGCCTTGTAGGAGGCTGAGGTTGGCAACCCTTTCGACACTGGTGCATCGCGGGAGTCTTCGCCCACTTGCGTGGCAGCACTGTGCGCCAAGTGACAGGGCGATGCGATTTTGAGGCTAGGCCGACCACCCGAGGGGTCGACAACTACCTCGAGCCGTGTACGAGGTAGTATATATTACCGGTAATATAAGTAATATAGGGTAATATAAGGTAATATACGGAAATGAAACAACGGTAATATATGATAAAAGAAGATGAGAACGTGACACAGTATCCTTGACTAAGGCTAAGATCAGGAGTTCTGGCTAGAATTTTGGTATTATGCAGACCTTACCCTCGTTTCATGACAGCGCCCCCTGTCAGATAAAAGGTATGCAACCCGATGCAACCTATCTGCACTCTAAAAAAAGTTACAGAATTTTGTATCATTTTTGATGAAGGATTTTGTATCACCTGCATTGGTTACAAATATTTGTATAAGTGATACAGAATTTTGTAACAGATGTGCCGGTTACAGAAAAATGAATCATTTTGGAGCTTGATACAGAAATTTGTTACATGAAGGTTACAATATTATGTTTGTAACATAACCGATACAGAAAATTGTAACTGGATACTAAATTCTGTATCAGCGATTAAAACATAAGGTTTTAACGGCAAAATTGAACAGCAGTGCCCATAGAGACAAGTTAAACTTAGAGTTTTCATGTGCTTTTATTTTTCCCGACTCTGAATAAGAGATTCAGTCTCGTGTATTCTTGGCAGGCAAGGCCTCCGTCCCTTACCACGCGCGCCTCAGGTCACCGGCTACCTGCGCCGCTCCCTCCACAGCGTCCGCACAGCGCAGTTGGTAGCGTGGCGGGCCGCCAACCCTGAGTCTGGGGTTCGATTCTCGACTTCTCAGAGTACATCTGGGAAAGTTGTGACTCGAAGAATGGCATAACGTCCTTCAATCAGACCAAAGGAGACTACGTTCGACCAAAATTCTCATTTTGATGCTTGATTTGGAAGAATAACGACTGTTTACAAATTTTGTAACCGTTACGAAATTCTGTAACCTAGTTACAAAGAAAAAAAACTGTATCCATCGTGATACAAATTTCTGTAACACATGTTATTGAAAAAGCTGCGTAACCATGTTACAAAATTCTGTACTGATTTTTTTTAGAGTGTGACAAAAGTATGGCGCGTAGCTTCATGTCAGATTGAACACGGACATCAAATCCGAATTTCTTCCTGTCGCAAGGAGAAGCCTAATAGCTTTAACACCTTGATACCAAGGTTCAGTACGGCAAGTTTAACGTTAGTTTAGGTTAGAAACAAGCAAATCACAGAAATATGTGGTAAAATAGTGGTAATATAGAGGTAATATACGGTAATATAGGGTAATATACGGTAATATAAGGTAATATAGAGGTAATATAAGCTCTGCGTACGAGGTAATATGGGAGTTGTCGACCCCTCGCGACCACCTGTACTTCCGGCAACTGCGCCACTCGAAGCGGAAGCCAGCGTGTTTACAGTGACGGAGGGCAGTGCCTTGGCAGTGCCTTGGCGGCGCGCAAGGGCTGGTTGAGACCCTTATCATCGGTTTGCTGGGCAAACCCCGTCAGAGGCGATAGCCTTGGAGGTCTTTTCCGTAGGGTAGGCAACCCGCCGACAGCCTGTTGCATGAGTTGCGGAGACCACGCTTCAAAATGAGGCTTTGTTTTATTTGTTTATTTTAAGTTAAATATGGGATCCCAAGAAGAAAAAAAAGATATATCTAAAACGCAAGTTTTTGAACATAACTTAACATTTTGTGACATCTCATCTGGTGATTTTTGATCCAAAACCTTACGACATCCCACGAAAACTTTTGATCTTTAAGAGTGGAGACATGTTGGCCAGCAGATCCAGAGCTCGTGGGTCGTGGTGCCCACCCTGCCCTGCTCACTGCTCAATTGGGGTATAAAGCTCCACCACGACGCACAGTGGGCCCGAAGACCGGTGGGAGCGGCCTAAATTCTAGACGCGTTTTGAGCTCCAGAGTCGCTGAATGAGACTCAACCCGAACGTGTGACCCCACCAATGGATTGCTCTCCGAACGAGGAATCCATTGGTGGTTCAGTTTACTTTTCGCCGCCCGTTCCGAAAAGCCGCGACATGTGTGACAATTAATTCGGCAGAGCAGTAAAGTAATTATGATGCTCCAAGATTGCGAGTCTTGTTTACAGCGAGGATGCAGTTACGTTTCAAACGCGATTGCGTATTGAGATTCCGCTATCTCCACAAGGCGGCGCAAGGCCACATTTAAACCCCTGCCACTGCGACGTACGACTTCTTATCAGCCTTTAACAAGCTGGAACAGGTGGCAGAACAATTTTCATTCTAGTCGTGGATTTTTTTTTAAATTCTCTCTTTTTACGCACCTTTGCACCTATGGGCCAAACCCTCAAATCAAATAATGACTCCTTTTTTTCTTTTTTTTTAAATTTTTTTTTAAATTTTTTGCGTTTTGGTATACAGTCCCGAAAAGATACACAGGGAACAGCCTTGACGCGCCACATTGAGAGGATTGCTAGATAACGCCGAGGCACGCCTCAAAAACAACGTAAGTGCGCATCGCTAAAACAACCGCAACGTGCCGTGCGGCTTTTCGGATGACGAAAACCCGCGCAAACTTGACGTTCCATAAATCTGCGCCGCGCGACAGTGGTAGTGCTGTACCGCAGGGGACGAAATTCCGACGATTCAAGTGACAGATTCTCTACTTATTGTTGACCACACTGAGAATGAAAAAGTCTTGATCAATACCCAATTTTGGGCAAATTTGGGCAATAAAGAATTCCTCGCCAAAAATTTCAGTCATGATCATGGCTCTTTCATTCTCAGTGCACGAGGCACAAAATATCACACGCAAATAAATTTTATTAAATTTATTTCGTACGTGATATGTGCTAACTTAGAAAATTCATGGTCCAAGTAGCAAAAGATTGCCAAAATTACCTTTATTTTTTCCCCTTGAATGGCGTTGGAAACGGACTTACACACTAAATTTTTTCTTACAAATTTTGTACGAGACATCACAGTTTTTGGCGCACACGAACTTTTCGTACAAATTTGTACAATTTTGTACAAAAATGGCGAAAAATGTGCAGTTTTTCGTACGAAAATGGTACGAAAATTTCGTGTGCACAAAAAAAAACTGTGTTGTCTCATACAAAATTGTACAAAACATTTAGTGTGTAGAAAGGCGGCCTTTGACGACACCTGAACGCAAACCGCCGGCCCTGGGTCCTACACTACGAGATGCAGCCGCGCTACTTCCCATACGTCCGCTCTAATTAAAAGCGAGGGCACGACTCAGCAGTTTCAAGGGGGAGGGGGAGGGGGAGGGGGAGGGGAGGGGGAGGGGGGAGGGGAGGGGGAGGGGGAGGGGAGGGGGAGGCTGTACGAGCGTA